CTTTGAGCTTTGCCTTTGACCTAAGAGGTAGCCTCATGTCCTGCTTAAAGCAGTCTATGTTCTACAAGAAGCCATGCATAGCCATAGGATGCCAAGGAAACAGGAGACCATTAACATCCAAAGGATGTGTCTTTTGGCCTCTGATATCAGATCATTACAACAGATATTTCAAAAATGTTTACACGGCTGAGCAGAAGTGATTTTAACCACTTTTAATAGGTTTTACCTAGTTCTCATCTCAAGCTAACTTCTGTAGCTTTGCATGTTTTCTCAATCAGTAAAAGGGGTTGGGCCATTCCATCATCTTGTGAAGAATGTAAGGAGTAGTGTCCTAGAGGAGCAGCCTCAGCTGCTCTTTCTCTACCTTCTTCTACCTCTTGTCCATTTTTCAAGGACTTGATCTGAAAGCCCTCTCTCTTCCTTCACCTCTGAGTGACCTTACCTGGAAGGAGGCATTGGTAAGATGGTCCAGCTGTAACAGAATAAAGCTGTGAGCTTGGTTATATCCTATTATCTCTAAACGTGAGCTTTCATCTTTAAAATGGAAACCCTGGTGAGCACATCAGAGATCTGCTGTAGGGATCAAACAATATCATGCATGTCAGGAAAGAAACTGTGGTTTTGGGATTTGTGCTCTGCTGTAGACAGAAGGATTGGCAATGGCTCAAATGTCAATGTTGGAGGTGCAGGACTGGGCAGTGTTTCATTCTGTTGTGCATCAGGTTAGTATGAGTCGGTACTGACTCAACAACATCTTACAACACCATAGACAAGAGGAACTTCCTGAAGGGGTATAAGCCCATACAGGACAAATTAATTGAAAAAGAATCCTTAAAAACATTCCTGGAAAACATCTGATTTCTTGACGTAAGATTCAGGAGCATCAACTGATTTTGTTGTTAAGTGCGGTCGAGTCAGTTCTGATCCATATTGACCCTGTCTAGGGTTTCTGAGGAATAGCTGGTGAGTTTGAACCACCAATCTTGTGGTTCAAGCTGACCTTGGGGTCGAGTGCTTATCCTACAGCGCCACACCAGGACTCCATCAGGTGATTTTAAGGAGCAAGATTTCAGTCACAGTTTTGCAATTGGCTATGAAAGACATCTAATGTACAGTTCCACCTCCCATTTGCCAGTTTGCCATGCTTGTACTGGCTTGTTCTGGAAGCGGAGTCGATGCCAGTGGTATTTTAAACACCAGCAGTGTCACGTGTTGTGGACAGGTTTCAGCTCAGCATCTATACTAACCAAGACTAGGAAGAAAAAAGGTCAGTCTGCTTTTGCAAATGAGCCAATGAAAGCCTCATGGATCAAGATAGGATGTTGCCCAATGGAGGGCTGGAAAATGAACCTCCGAGGCAGGGAACTTGTGCCTTGGACACAGTTGTGACTACAGTGGGTGGCACAGGACCCAGCAATGGTGTGTTCTGTTATACATATACATGTGTTCTGTTATACATGAGGTCACCATGAGACAGAGCGAATTCTATACCAACTATCATCAGCAATAATAATAGCAACAAAATGTGACTCCAAGGACACATTTTCAGGTAGTAAAACACACACTCGTCTCTTCATCTCTGCAGTTAGATGGACACACCTTGCTCTATTGGACTGCGTGTTATGGTGCTTCACAGATACTTTGTGTTCTCTTTGCTTTTACAAATTAAAGGGCTATGGCAAGGCTACATCAAGCAACTCTCAGTGCCATTTTTACCAAACATGTATGCTCACTTCATGTCTCTTGCGTGCCGTTTTAGAAACCCTCACAGTATTTCAAACGTTTTCATAATGCACAATTCTGAGGTGACGCAGGGCTTCCTACAGTATAGATAGATGGTCACTGGCAATCGCTGACCCATCTTGTGACCACAATAACAGGCTCCAGCGTGGCATCAGTTGTTCTATTGTACACGGGATTCCTGTGAGTTGGAACTTTCTCCTGGCACCTAACAACCACCACAATGTTCAAACAAGCCGTTCTGTTATTAACACTGAAGAGAGGGGGGCTTGTGTCCTTTTACTTGGATGATGAAATGATTGAAAGGTACAAGTCTCAAGTGCCCTTACATTTAACCTAAGAAAACAGTTCATTACTCTTGCCTGAAGATAGAGGAGAAAACACTGTTTTATATTTGCATAAATCAGAATTTGCCAAATAATGGTCCTTGGAGATTCAGCTTGTAAATGTGTTTTATTTTTGTTGACGTGGTGTTTTATTACTAATGTTCTGTGCATTAAAGATTTTTCATGAAAAAACCCAAATTTCTGTCTTCGCCTGGGGCCGGGGGATGCGGTGGGGGAGCATGTTCTAGAAACATGCAGACTGTGCTGGAAATGGATGTCAGACCAAACCCACTGTCAGCAAGCTGATTTGGACTCACTGCCACCAGAGACTGTAAATCTTTACAGGAGCAAATAACCTCTGCTTCCTCCCTCAGGGTCAGAACAGATCCCTGTAAAGTCTGCACTGTACAGAGAAGGGGTCTCAGCTCTCCGGTGATGTCCCTTGTTTGGTCATTCCATCATATTGTGAAGATTGTCTAGATCATTGTTGCCCTGAGGGAGTGCCGTGCAAATATACATCATTGCCCAAGTAGTATTTGAAGGTCTTTACCTCCTGGTCTTAGATTCTCTGTGATACTGATTCATTTTGGTTAAGTGTAGGGAGGTCCTGTCTGGTCATGCAAGGAGGGGCAAACCTCAGATCTAGGGTAACAGCCATGGGTGGTCTCGATCCCTTTCCTCTCTGTTCCTCTGGTCGTCCTGTAACCAATCACACAAGCTGACACACAGCTGCCTGCAGGAGGACCCATTGTGTACGTACAATGCAGTAAGTTCATCTCAGGATCAGCCTCAGGTCTGAGCATCTCCATGCCTGTTTACGCCTCTTCACTTGGCTTTCCTCACATCTCATTTCACAAAGACTTTGATGTTAGTTGAAGGACAGGTGAATTAGGATGCTAGTGATATTCTCAGAGCTTGCAGACAAAGAGGTCATTCAGTGGAAATCAGACCTTCAAAAGATGCTTTTAGTACCTGTGGGGAAGATAGACTGGCTGTTGATAAGGGACCCTGACACCCTGGCTTGGATGTAGGAAGGGCAGTGGCAGTGAGGGCTCAGTGATGCATTCCAACACGTATCCTGCCTTCCCTTCAGGAATACAGCTGGCCTTGGAGATACTGTGGGGTTTGGTTTCAAAACACTGAAATCAAGCAAATATCAACTTAAAATGAGTCATATAAATTTGTGATTTTCCAACAACAGCAACACAAACACACTCACTGAAGTTGATTCCCAAGTCACAGTGACACTAGATTTCTGAAACTGTAAATCTTTATGGGGACTGATAGAGACTCATCTTATCTCCCACAGAGCACCTGGTTTGAGTCTCATACATTGAAGTTAGCAGCCCAGTCGTAACTCACAGCACCACCAGAGCTCCTATAAAAGTTATATTTATCCGTGTTATTGGTGTTGTTAAGTACCGTCAAGTAGATTCCGACCCATAGTGACCCTGTATAGGCTTTCCAAGGAGCAGCTGATGAGCTTGAACCACCAACCTTGCTGTTCAAAGGACTTTGCACTCTGACGCATTAGCCCACAGCACCACACCAGGACCCCAAAAGTCCCCTTAAGACCCTCAAAATCATTTGATCTGACTCTGCCAAGGCAATTGCAGTTTGAGCCATCACATTAGGGGAGATTTAATTAAATGTTTGGCATTTATCTATAAATAAATTTTTATATATAAAAAACACAGCAGGCTAATTTTTAAGTTGATAATATTGTATGGCTCATGAATGAAATTGTAAATTTTGGCAGAAAAAAATGTTCACCAACCCTTGATCTATACCATAGTCTATACTATGTTTATAATCAGTGTTATCACATTGCTACTGACTCTTTGTAATCCTTATAGGGTCTCTGAGGCCATAAGTCTTTATGGGAGCAGACAGCCTCATCTTTCTCCCACAGAGCTGGTGGATTTGAACCACCGGCCTTGTGGTCAGCAATCCAGTGCTGATCCTACAGCACCACTGGGACTGTGAAGTGTATAATGGCATTAAGGAAATTGTTGGGACTCTCAAGAGGATGACCATGACGTGGACACAGACTAAAGTGTGAAGTGTGTAATAGCATTAAGGAAATTGTTGGGACTCTCAAGAGGATGACTGTCACGTAGACACAGGCTAAAGTGTGAAGTGTATAATAACATTAAGAAAATCATTAAGACTCTTGAGAGGATGACAGTGACGTGGACACAGAAACTGAAGTGTTGTTGGAAAAATAGCATCAGTAGGCTTGGTCAATACAGAATTACCACACAGCCTCAGTTTGTCCAGAACCGTAATCTCTGCAGAGTGTAGTAGAATGAGGTGTGCCTCTAGCCCCTCAGCTGCTGTGCTTCCTAAGGGCTTTGTTGGCGTTGACAAGTGATGGGAACTCAGTGGATTTTCCACCAAGCATTCAAAACCCCTTTGTGCTTGTAACTAGGTCACTTACAGGCACCAGCGTTTTGGGCATGTTAACTCTCTACAGATGGGTGATGGGAACCCACCCAGCATTCATTGCTGTGGAAGAAAGCCCTGGCAGTTTGCTTTCATTAAGATAGTGTTCAAGGAAGCCCTAGGGAGTCCACTTCTACTCTGTGACACACTCATTGACAACAGATTTGCCCTGTTCCTTTGTTGATAAGTCAGGAACACATGCATTGCTTCACATGCCTGTTCTCCCGGTCCTTCTTTTCTCTTGTCCCATCTCCACCAGCCCTGCTCAGATCTCAAATGAACTCAACCCCCTGCCTCAAGCTTTGCTCTATTCCCTCTCTCTCTCCTTCTGCTGCCAGAATGGATCTAACTTTGATGCCAGATGATGACCTGAACTGTCTAGAAACTTCCAGGATTCACCAAGACCTTCAGGATCAAATCCAGGCATTTGTAGAAGACATTGACCATAGAGTCCAACCTTCAGTGGCTGTGTCTCTGCTCTTTCCTCAGGTATTACCAGATCCGTGTGACCTTGAAGGTGTCCTCCAGGATTCCCCATAGACTGAGTGCTTCCATCGTTGGGCAGACAGGTGAGCAGATGAGCGACTTGTAGGTAACTCTGTTATGACTGTACTCTGGGGCACAGCAGGGCACCTGGCAGGCGAGGACACTTGGTGGGTCACTGTTGAGTGTTGGGGGATGCACCTTAGAAATGGAGATGCTCTGTGGGAAGTGGCAAGGTGTGTCTTGTGGGAGGAGGGGCCGCTGCCCAAGAGCAGCTGGTCCTGGGGTACATTGGCTGTGGGAGGTTAGTTAACACGTCAGGGAGTGAAAAGATGGGGAATGGCTTCTAGCAAGTAGTGATGGGAACTCTGTGGCCAAAGAGAATCTGGGAATTCTGTAGCTACACAGAGGATTAGGTGGAAGGGACCTATGGCATGTTCCATACAGAGCATGGGATCCCAAGGGCCCCTGACTGGGGGAGAAAGATTGCCAAGGACCACCTAGCATCTTAATGCTAAATTAACCAAACCCAGTCCTACTGCTATCTAGTCAGTACTGACTCCCAGCTACCCTAGGGAGAGTTTTGAGACTGTAAATCTTTACAGGAGCCAACAACCGCATCATTATTTTATGATGCTGCTTTGAACAACTGACCTCTGGTTAGCAGACCAATGCCTAACCCACAGTGACACTTGAACTTCTTATACTCAGTTAAGTCTGTATTAACTAAATGGGCATTCCAGGACCCCAGCAAGTGCTCAGTGTCATAGAATGTTAAGTCAAAAACATAGAACTCATTACGTAAGGTATGAGGAGAGACACAGAGGTTAACTCGTAGAAGCAAAACATAACATTACATTTGATAGATAAGCATTTGATTGCTAGCCATAGGTGAGTGGTTTGGATCCACTGTTGGTTTCAGTAAAGATTACAATCTTGGCAGCCCTATATGTTTCTGCCCCACCCTATAGCATTGGAATCAATTCCACAAAAGTAGATTTGGATTTGGTCTAGTGTCTGTATATCCACCAGGCCTTGAGAATTAGGATGATGATGTGGGGACGAAAGAGAGAGAAGGTAAGGAGATAAAAAGATGGACCTGTGGAATTTCTGCATAATTATAGCAAGGGTAGTGAAGAATATTGTAGACCTCCACTTCAACAGAGTTAGGACTTGTACTTACAGCCATGCTTCATAGTCATTGGGCATTGTGCTGGCATTTAGATCACCATCATGTCTGCAGTGGGACCATTGTGAATGGTCCCATGCAGAGGAGTAGAAGTAGGTGGTGTGGAAGCTGTAACCTGGGAAGGAGTTGATGGCCCAAGCTGCCACATGTAAGGGTATCAAGCAAAGCCTGTGAATTATGGGTAACATGATGTTGACCTCTGCTTCTCCCCTGACTCTGGGAAAAGTAAGTTTTGTTATTAAGTGCCATCTATTTGGTTCTGGCCTATAGCGACCCTGTATAGGGTTTCCAAGGAATGCCTGGTGGGCTTGAACCGCTGACCTTGTATTTCAAACCAACCTTGCAGTCCAGTGCATTAACCCACAGCGCCACAAAATAAATGATGACTAGTGTGTCTGTGTTTTTTCTGTTCCACTTTGGTCCTTTCCCTTCCTGGAAGGAAATTGGGGATCTCCCTTCCTGGAAGGAAGAGGTGGTCACCATCCCCAGTGTGCAGTGTAGGGTCAGGAGGATTTCAGGCAGTTTGTGGTTCTCACTCTAGTTTGGTTCCAAAAGAGGAAGGTTCGTAGAGTTCATACAGGGATCATGGGTTGTGCCCTCACAGGGCTTGGAACCCTAGCATTGCCATGAACTAATTATGTGACCCCAGAACATTCTTGATGTTTTAGCATCATTTCCTTACCTGCAAAGGAGGGCAACTCCATCTTGTTCAGGGTTTTGTTTTAGAGATTGTCAGTGTATTGAACAGTGGACAAAGGAAACCCAATGTATCCTACCTATGAGGAGTACCTGAGAGGCTGGGTGGGTACAAAGAGTGACTCTGCTTGACTGTTAACTGAAAGATTGGAGGTTTGAGTCCATCCAGAGGGGTCCTGGAATTACAATCAGCCCCTGAAGACCGTGTGGTACATAGTTCTGCTCTGAAACCTCTGGGGTCACCAAGAGCCAAAATCATGTCTATGGAAACTTTAAAATGATTTCTTATGATTTACACAATTTGTCATGACTGTCGTTGAGAATATACACAGCAGCTCTCTCTCTCACCAACTCGGCAGTGTTCACATGTACATTTCAGGGACATTAATGATGTTGAGTTGTGCAACCCGCAGCACCTTCCTCCTTTGAGCCATCCTTCATTAACAGACTCACTGCTCCCTGTGGTTCCTGTCTGATCCTTTGAGGTGCTGTTGTCACGTTGATCCTATGGCAAAGTCCCTCAAAGAATACAATGCTCAAGACAGAAATTCTCTGTTAGTTAAGCTAAACTATTGTTGGTTTAAAGGCTTAATGGAATAGTTTCTGTTTAAGGTCTAAAGATGATCTCTGGGAAATAGTTTCAGGGGTTCATCCACCCTCCATGGTTCCAGGAAATCTAAATTTCATGAGAAATTGAAATTTTTATCTGCATTTTCCCCCTTTTGATCAGTGTTCTTTTATATAAGATTTTTTTTTTTTATAAGATTTTTGATCAAAATGTTCAGTCGTGGTAACCGAGCACCACCTAGTTTTTCTGGAAGCGATTAATCACACAGTCTATTTGTGTTGTTGTTAAGTGCCATCGAGTCGTTTCCAATTCATAGTGGCCCTGTATAGGGTTTCTGAGGAGCAGCTGGTGGGTTTGAACCGCTGACTTTGAGGTTCAATCTGACCTTGTGGTCCAGTGCATTCTCCTGCAGTTCCCCACCAGGACTTGTCCTATTTGCCATTCTCTTTATTTCTCTGTTATTCCAGGCGATTAGAGACCAGTTGTGTCTTAGATGGCCCCTTTCAAGCTTTTCAGACCCCAGGTACTATACAGTGAACTAGGAAGCAGGACAGAAGCACCAATTGACTGGGACCCTAGACCTTAGAAACTGTTTTGTTTTGTTTGTTTAAATGGTTAGTCTTAAGACAGGGGTGCGGGACAGAGGCCTGTTCTCAGGGGAGAGAGGGGAAATCAGTTCTTACTCCAGCAGATGGACTCCAAGCTGTCCCCAGATTCCAGACAAAGATTCTGAGTCATCCTGTGACTCTTGACATCACGGGTGAAATCCCTGCCTTTTGGTCAAGCCTCTGTGTAGCTGGCAGGCCCCAACACTGAGGGCAGACGACAGCTGGACATCACAAGCACTGACAGAGCCCAGTAGCTTAGGGACACGAAGGGCTGTGGTTGTGCTTCACAAAGACAAAGGAAAATGGAGTGCCATTTTTGGGGAAAATATCTACTCGTATATTCTCTCTTGGTCTAGTTTGACACCAGGATGCTGTTGATTTTATACAAGCAGCCTACAAGGACAGAACATGAACCTAGTGGCCAGCACTGATTTGCAATATTGTTCCCTATCCAGGTGAGGGAGACAGAATGTTTGTGGTTTCTTCTATAGGTAGGTTTTCCAATGACAGTGGAAACTGGAATTCCATGGGACTGCCTTAGGTTTCAGGGTCTTGCAAGTTTTCTGCCTTAAATAAGGTACAAGTTTACTGCTTTCTGATCACTAGCAGTGGAAAATATTTGAGTTTCCCTGTCAGACAAGTTTCTGCCTTACACAGGTTTTACTGTATACAGTTTCAGTTCAATGTTTTGTTGTTGTTGTTGTTGTTGTTAGGTGCCATCAAGTTGGTTCTGACTCAGTGTGGCCCTGTGCACAATTATTGATATGTTTGATTCTATCACTGCAATCACTGTGCCAACCCATCTCTTTGGAGGTCTTCCTCCTTCTCACTGACCTTCTCTTTTACTAAGCATGATGCTGTCCTCGGGAATGGTCCCTCCTAGTAATATGTCTGAATATGAGAGACAAAGTCTTGCCATCTTGGCTTCTAAGGGGCATTCTGGCTGTACTTCCAATACAGATTTGTTTGTTCTTCTGGAAGTCCATGTACTTTTAATAATTTTTTTTCTAACACCATGCTGGTGCCTTGACTTTAGCCAGGGAAACAGATTTTGGTATTCTGAGTTCCAGATTTGTAAAGATGATGATGTGCGGTTGCTTGAAGTTGCTTACGTTTGTGATAATTTGGTACAACAGTGGTGGTGGCCATGTACCACTGTGTTGTTGCTGACGCATAGCAACCCTGTATGGGTATCCGAGGCTGAAGTCTTTGTGGGAGCAGAAAGCCTCTTCTTCCTCACAAGGAGCTCCTGGTAGATTGGAATTGCTAACCTTGCTGTTAGCAGCCCAGCTTGCAATCCACACCATTTACCAGGGTTCCTTGTTTGTTACCATAGTAACCAGAACCTAAGTAAACAAAGAAGTGCTCAGAGTGGTATCTGACACATAGCTTATCTAGAATAACTTAGCTAGAGTAGGTGGTGGTGTGGATAGAGTGGGTAGTGCAAGCATTTAGCCCTCAGCTACTGACAAAAGTTGGTGGCTCAACTTCACCCAGAGGTGCCTCATAAGAAAGACCTGACAACCTATTGCTGACAAACCAGCTATTAAAAGCCCTATGGAGTGCAGTTCTACTCTGGTTATGATCAGAGTCCACTAACAGTAGGTGGTTGGTGGTTAGTTGTTTACTCTGCACAGAGCACATCAGCTGCAGGTCTGTGACTAGCAGCTGGGAGGATGGGAGGCTGGCCCTGCAGACGAAGGTGGGGAAGGACGCTGAGCACTCAGGTGTAGCTGGTGATGACGAATAGCATGGCTGTGGACTATGACCTGCAGGTGATTTTGTGGCTCCCTAACACAGCCAGGTGATATGAAAGCACTCTGCCAACACACACCCAGGGCTGTTGAAACTCCAGGTGCTCTCTCTCCAATTAAGGGACAGAATTAGGCATCTTAGTTCTATTTTTACACATGCCTGCATTCTAAAAGCCACATTCGATGGAAATATGCCACAATGATATATATGACTTAGACTCCACTTGTCTAGATGTGAATCAATTTCTCATTGAATTTTTCTCCAGCTAGA